AGGGAGGATTGAAAAAGGAAGCAGAAGTTTTTTTTTTGGGGGGGGGTTGAAAAGTCTCCTTCACGGCACGTGCCCTACCCGGGGCATCCGAGGCATCGCGCGCGCAAAAGCTTGTATCCCTATTTGATTCCTGTAGTAGTTCTTTGACCCATGTCTATTTCTTTTTCTCTCTATAAACTGCGCGATCGATACACTGCCTTCCTTTAGCTGAAGAGAAACTTTGCACTAACCTCCGAGGAACTTAGTCTTCGTCATGTGTGGGAAGAATGGATTCGCAGCTGCAGTAGAGTGTCACTTTCTGTGCTCAAAAGTGCACGGGAACGATGCTCGAAGGTGATAATACTCCGGTGCCTATACTCCGTCTCGCGCTACCACACGGCCAAGCACACGCTCAACCATAGCCGGGCGTCTTACTTGTCTGCGCCGTTTCAATCCTGTCGCGTCTTTGGTTGCTGGAACTTTATCGACACAAGTGTAGCACATTGAGGCGCTAACACGCTCTTGCTCCCTTGCCGTGCACGTTTGAGCGGAAAAAGTACCCTACTACCGTTGCGGACTTATTCACCTCGCACATTGCAGGGACCGTCCCCGGAGTTGAGTGCACATTTGTCTTTATAGCTGCTAAGCTGTGGTTAGGGCAGGAATGGTATCCTAGCACTAAAAACGTTGAATAATGAAGGTTGGCGAATGCTTTGAGAGGGGGGGGGGTATGTTGACGTGCCGCAAAAGCTGCCACAAAGCCATGCTGACTTGCGTGCGATACCGTGCCTCGGTTGTTCCCAACTACACCCGAGCCGAGTCCTTACCCATAAAAACCTACGAGAGTTTCCAAAGGGAAAACGGACCTGGGAGTGGCAGGGTAATAGCATAAAATGAGGAATGATTGCGAGTTGCTGCTCATCTAAACTATTCATTTATCGACCTGTGTGAAGGATAATGTGGCGAAATTAGGCAGTTCTTCGTCAGAACTGTTCCTAACCTCAGAAGATTTTCTGTTGGGCAGCCGGACCTATAACACGTGAAAAAAGAGTGGTCATGGTATAGGGTACTGCGAAAACGATAATATGAGGCTATAGAGCAGGACAGAATTCGATACTACTGCTCACTCGTGAGCGGTTTGAACGGTAGAAAGTAAACGAGTAAGCACGCAAACGAAAAGGGCTAATAGATATAGGCATTGTTTACAGAAAAAATGGCGTCAGCAGAGAGACACAAGTGAGAGATATGAAGCTCTGCCTCAACCCCAACATGAAGATAGCACCTAAAAGACACGAAAAGCGAACCTTCTTCCACCCATCCTTGTTTAGGAGGAGCTCTCGGCGGCGCAGCAAAGAATGTACCATAAGATTCCTGCGACTTGCTTTGCATTGCACTAGGTTGTTGATCAAATCGTGAACGACGACCTCCAGGTCCAGGTCCCATTCCTGGCCCCGGTCCCATGCCTGGACCTGGTCCCATGCCTGGTCCTGGTCCCATGCCTGGTCCTGGTCCCATGCCTGATCCTGGTCCCATGCCTGATCCTGGTCCACTTCCAGGCATAGGAGGAGGTTCGACAGTCATGCCACTCAGAAGCGATGGTATCGCACCTACAATAAAACACTTTTCAAACCGAATCGGACACTTTTCAAACCAAATCGGACACTTTTCAAATCAAATCGGACACACCCCTTACAATGGGCACTTGAGAACTAGACCACACTAGGTACTGCTGCAAGCCGCGCCCCTTCCACGTCCCCTGTAGCGTCTTTTTGCGGAGTTCTAATCTTTTCTTCAAAATTCTCCCTTTTATAGAGGTAGCCCCGTCAACCTCCCCTTCACTCTTGAAAAATGAACTGGTTCGGCAAGCTAGCGTTCGTAATGGCAGGTCATGGTGTCCCCCGTTAGCCGGAAAGAGAAACCATTGAAAACTTGTTCTGAGTGACGAGCGAGACCATACCCTGCCAGTTGGGACTCTAGTTTGCCGATCTTGACCATTTTTCAAAAGTGGGCGGGACTTCTGCTAGTGGGGCGGGGCTTCAAGTCGTGGGGGAAACGACTTGTTACGGCCTAAAAGGAGAAAATTTTGAAGAAAGGATTAAAATTCCGCAAAAAGACGCAAAAGGGACGTGGTTAGAGGGGCAGGGTTATAGGGTGTAAAGGCGCATCATGAGAAAATGCTTTTTGTGACGAGCGATTGTGAAGAAACAACGTCGAAAAAGTTATAAAAATTCAAAACTTGCGATAACTCTATCAAAAATAGGTGGAGTCGTATCTGTGCCGGTAACAACCGTTCCCACTTAGAATGAGCGAAACAGCAGAACAGTCAAGGGGCGAAATTCATGGAACGAATTTTAGAAAATAACTGGAAAGTGGGCAGGGTGTTGGGGCGGGGCATGCAGCAGCACCTTGTGTGGTCTAGTTAATCAACTACCCAGTGTGAGGGCTATGCCCGCTTGAAAATGAAAACGGTATCCATACGGACCACTGAATTTCATCCCTGCAAAAAAGCAAAATTTGTACCTCGAGCACGGTCCTTCTCGGTTTCGATTTGCATGTCGATTTGAGCCATCTGCTGCATTATATGTTGTACGTAGTTTTTGTGCTGCTGCTCGTATCCAGCATACATGGCTTGGAGGTTCACCTCAATTTCAGCTGCCAACTAAACAGAAATTATCAATGGTAAGGCGGAAAACTAGAATAAAGAGGAAAAAAATCAATAACTACAAGGTAGCGGAAAAATAGCTATAAGGTGGCGGAAGTGTTTCCATTAAGCGTTCACAGCCGATTGCTTAACATTCCCACAAAAGGGCACCCATTGCACACTATAGCTTTTTGATCCAGTTGCTAGAGCAAAAAACCCAATATTATAGGAGACGTCATACCTTGGCATACTCTGCAGCTTGGACTGCTTTCGCTGAATTGTAAATCTGACCAGGGTTGCGTAGCTGCTGAAACGAAATCACTATCAAGAATAATCCAAATAACTTTCAGATACAGGAATAATCGGATCTGTATCACGGAAGTGGCTACTTCACGAAATGTGTGAACCGTCACTCCCACTCTCAAATTAAAAGAAAACGGTCTAAACAACGCTGAGTCTTGATGAGTAAATGTTCAAATTTTTGTGATAAATGATGGAATGAGTCTATCAGAAGCCTAAACAATTAATTAGCGGCGCTCATAACCACAGCAATGAAGCTGCTCGTACTAAAGTTTTTTTTTTTTTTTTCAACATCGGAAGAGTTAACTTCTGTACATAGAAACAGCTCAGAACTGTTCCACCCTTCCAGGTTAACCATACTTTAATGCATAGTTTTAGTCCCAATCAAGTTTCAATGTACTTCCAACATCCATAACAAGTTTTACCTGTCCCCAAACAAAATCTTGTAGCGCAATACAGACAGAAACAGCTGTGGTTGCAGAGGCTCTGTCAATCAACACATTTCTCATTAAGCTGCGAAGGTGATTGTTTTCTTCGTGCAGCCACTACTGTCGCCAGCGTTTGAAAGGAGAAGAAAAGTGGAAGACAAAAAGGAAAAGGAAGGAAAGAGGGAACCAGAGAAGGAGTGAAATGAAAAGAAAGAACAAGGACAAATAAAAGAACGGGTGAGGCTTCGCGGTTTTGCACAACGTATCCTGAGCCAGAGTAGTGGTCAGCGGGTCGACGGCGAAATCCAGAAACGAGCCTTTTTCCACGTTCCAAGACACTGTCAACGCACGCGGACTGCCCTCCTTCCTACCACCATTTTTTTTTCTTTTCCTCGAGTGGGAAGGCTCCGTTCCCGATTCGCGCATGACCACTTTTTCTCGGTTCAGTGATACCGCGGATGCCTCCACCTCTTTCCCTTTCCATCCTCCTTTTTCTCTTCCTTCCTTTTTCCCCCTCTTCCTTTTCCTTCTTCCTGCTCGGACAATAGGTGCGATCAAGCCTCAGAACTCTTGCAGGGGGAGTTTACGGTAGACGTAAGCCCTGTAGCCGCTTTTACGAGCATAGTAGACTATGAGGTGGTAAGCCACCCATCATAGATGAGAAGTTGGAGTGTTTTGATCTAAGTGATCGTGGTATGGTATGTAGACAGCAGGGCGCATATTAAGGATAAAGTCTTCGCCGTTGATCCAAATCCCTTTTGTAGGCGATGAGACACGCGATTCCCCTCCCTCCTTCCAGTTCAGAAGTCGGCAGTGGCTTACAACTAGAAGTGCGATACGGCCTATAATTATCCAATGCGGGGGGCCGGCCGATGTATCAGTGTTTCTTAATCCTTCATCCAAGACGAATCCTGGTAATCAATTTAACACGCGATCAAGGAGCAAGTAGAAGGCTTGGTGACCACTGGGCGCGGAGTTCGCGCTAAGGATTCCGAATACATACGGACACAACCCTGCCTCAAAGTGGCGCTATACATAATAGCAGAAAAAATCTGATTGAGCCTGAATTCACATGCAGCCTTTGTAAGGACGAGAGGGCACCAGACAAAAAGCACGAAAATGATGGACATGGCTTCAAGGGGTCCACGGACCACTTCAAAAGCCAGTTTATTTTAATACAGGAAGAATACCAATGATGCGCGCTTTCCTGTCCTTTCTCTCTGTGCGCCTCACAGTCTAATATGGCGCTCGTACTCTATCTCTTAGCCAACAGGGACCTCTACATATTAAATTCAACACATTTACGCTTCATAAGAGGCTCATCGTCGCAGGGAGTGCCCCCTTCAGAAAAAGCTCAACTGGCCCATACCTACTGGTCGTCTTGCACTTCTGATGAATTACAGCCCGCAGCGCTCTAAATCTTTGCGCTTTGGCCTTTCGCGCCAGACCACCACGAAAAGTTCTACTTGTCACGTAATCGGAGACATACAAAAGACTCCTTACGAAATTCCAGTATTCCTGCAATGGAAATGAGAGCTCCTCCTGAACCTAGAGGGAGGAACTCCCAGAAATTGGTAAATGAACACTTTCAAAAGGACGAACATTTGATTAACGTTGATCTCACTATTGCACAAGGAGAATTGAGTGATGGTCAAGATATAAGGCATTCAAAGAATTCTCAAAAAAAAATAGCAATCAGGATACCAGCAGAATTTGAAAAATAGTGTAATAGGTGAGAATTTTATCGCATCGTATAATTTTTTATACTATCGAATTTTCAAAAAAATAGGTGCTAAAATAGGTAACTCAGAATTGCTAGAGACATACCTTGAAACACTGGTCGTTGAAATACTTGTGACCTTCCCAAACTCCAATCAGTTTATCCAGTTTCTGTTGCATCATACCATCTTGCGATAACTCCACAGTAAAGGCATACATTTGAGGAACATAACGTGATAACATTTGTGTTTGAGAATCCCAACGTTTTCGTTGACTGGAAGGAACGCAAAATAGAAACGGGTAACGAAGGATATAGGTCAGGATCCATCACATGTGAGCCCTCTATCTCAAGCAACTGTCGCATATATTTGTTAGGCATTGACAGTCTGCGAACCTGCGTTTCTCTCAAAAGAAACGCTTCGGCGAAAAGCTTTCGATACGTATCGACTGGCGGTTGGGCGAAGAGTCCGGCGGTTGGGCGAAAGGGTTTTGATACGTATCGACGGGCGTTTCGCCAAACCGCGACGTTTTTCGCCTTCGCGAAACGCTAGCTCGACCGCCTGGCGTTTTTCTCTAGGGCGGATCCAGCGAAATCGATACGCATCTATTTCTCTTCGCCGAACCGACGAACCGCGGCGACGTTTCTCCAGAGCGATGGTTATTCTAGGTTGGCGATTCGATTGGCGTGTTTAATGCTTTTCGCCGAACCGCCGTTTGGTCAGGGTCACAGACTGTGAACAGTGCCTTGAGGAGATTTCAGAAATTCTTTGTGCGCATTTCGGGAGAGCCTCCAATAGGGTCTGCTTCGTTTCCCTCCAAGCAAGCTTCGCCTTCACGCCCCAAGAACACTTTCATACTTTGCGTCAGCGTAAGCCAGCGCACGGAAGCGTTTCGGTACGGCAGCCAGCACCAGCGACAAGGAATGTAAAGATGTGGATCTAGCGAACCCGACCACAAAACTGAAAGGCGCAACTTAGCAGAGGAAGGGATGGCTATCTCGGGGAGGGGGGGGAGGAGGAGAGAGAGAACGGCGGACGAGCAGAAGCAGGTTACCAGATGGACCCCTCTATTCCTTTTTTAACTTTGTTAGCCCCCAAAACAGATCCGATATTCAAGTTTGAGAGTTGAAAACACCCCTTAATACAAGCTTTCAGTGAATTTGGTGATTTACGGTATTTTGGCGCTGGCACCTGTGAAGCGAGTGCCAAGATGTTGGGGGTTGATCGGATGTGATATTCGTGTTCGGGAGGTCGAATTATTCCGTTTTAGCCAAGTCTGCCCTTTGAGAAAAAAGTCTGGTATGTTTCGGAAGTTTCGGGCAGTAAAGGGTAAAAGTGCAAAGGCGTTCTCAACATACACGACCAATTTGTGATGCAAGAAAGTTGGCCTGACAGTCACCAAAAATAAAAGTAAAATGTTTGACAACAAACTGTAACTCACCATTGATAAGCCCAATCATTGATAATGTAGAGCACATTCAACCGAAAATTATCATTAGCATGAGAATCTTTGACCCTAAACATGACGATAATGAGAATATTAGCAGAAACACAAGAATAAAAGGAAAGTTGCAAGGTCTCTGGTCCACACTTACCTGCTTAAAAGATATGTGAGAACAACTTCTCTGAGCTGGTCTGTCTGACAATGCTCAAATATCCACTTTCGACTAGTCTGAATCAAATCTGCGTTAGCTCTTTCCTTTTGTAAAGAAAATACTAGGGGCAGTCCGGCTAAGGGAGGGGGCATTTAGCACTTTCGCTGCTTCCCTAGTTCCGATCTACAAGTCTCACTGGTGAAAACCTGTGAACTCTTGTGAAGCTGGAGCAAGCTCATCGAGCCAAGTGTATTCCATAGCTAACAAGAGTTGACAGGTGGTCTCTACGAACTGCAACTGGTATCAATCCATGGCCTCAGATTTCACAGGTCTCAACTTGATGACTTGATCGTTGATGGGAAGTCTCAGAAGCGCAAATTCCCCCTCCCCCCTGTCGCTGCACTGCACCACTGCACCGAGAAATACTGCACAAAAAACCCTAGAAAATATGAAAAACAAATACCGAAACGAGATCTTTGGAGCATTTTCCACCACCATTGAGTTGATCCAATATTGCACCTAGAGGTGCCACGTCAAAATTCACATTGGCCAATATTTGAGACATCTTCTGAGATTCTGACATAACTACGGCTTGTGCCACTTGTGCCTGAATATGAATGAAAAATAATAGGTACCAAAATGCCTGAATAAGACGACCAACCTCCTTCATCGCAGGAATAGAATCAAGATGAGCTTTCAAATTCCGTTCACTATCACTGATTTGTTGCCTGAGTTGCTCTTTTTGGGAGTTCATTCTTCTCACAAATTCAGACTCAGGTTGTGGCGGTCCTCCGCACCCATTTCCATGATGTGGTGGTCCGTGAACTAGAATGTCAAAATTGCATCGAAACATGCTAGATATTTATTTATTTATTTATTTAAATAAAATAAACATACTAGATAGCAGTGAAAACTAATGGAACCTACTTTTTTGAACTTCGTGTTCCACGCAATAACGGTAGTATTCATTGAAAGGACCGCCGTAAAGGAATGCGAACTTCGGATTCCCCTCTTGCTTTTCCATGGTCATTTTCTCAAAGTCAGGACCGTTCTTCGCCACGAAAACTGCCAAACGTTCGATGGCATTCCGCAGCTCGTCGTCTAAAAATAAAAACTTTATGCCCAAAATATACCACTAATCAATTCAGAATTCATCTTTGTAGAGAAGGCCCCCAAAGCTAGCATTCTGTGATGTCGTACACCCATAATTTCCAGTTCAGGAAAGAGACACACGATTAGTTTTAGAAAAAAAATGAGAATAGAATAATAAAAGGGCAGAAAACTCAAGAGAATTAAACAAGAAGTGCTATGAAGGCTATTCTCAGTGTAAATGTTATCGCGCAAAAATGGCTCACCTTGAGGCGGTCGAGGGCCATATCCATCATCCGGCATTTCAAGCTGAAACATAATATTACTAAAAAGAAAACACGAACATTACGAGGAAAACGGCGAGAGATGGACATCTCTGAGCGAAAAGTTGCTTAGAATTTTTCCAAACTTTCCACCAAAATTGAGACAATTAGTAAATGCCAGCAAATGAAAAAGAAACGATCGCTGAAGGGTCAGGCTTGCATTTACATAGCAATCTAGGATTATTCCTACACAATTTTCCATCAGGTTCTACCTATTTCCACCAATTTTTTTTCTACGCATACAGGAGGGTCTTTCCAGGTCAACACTGAGGTAAGTTGTTCTTTTCTCGCACGGAATTCAAGTGTTTATTCACTTCAAATGAAAGAGGAGTAACATAGCCGCCTATTATGAAGTTGTAACCGCCATCTGAAACTGCGTCGAACTGCCGTGCTTCGCGATTTTCACCAAGTCATTTTGGAAGTCCTTTTTCACCAAATCCTTTTGGAAGTCCTTCTTCTCTTTTGGGACACTATTTAGCCCAAAGCGGTATCCTGACGGTTAATGAGGCATAGCTTCACGAATCTTCGGGAATCAAGATAGACTCCACTGGAAAACAGAGGAGGAGTTCATAGCAGAAGGGTATTTTACCCTTATTTAGAGTTACTGGCAAGCCTTCCGACCACATTAGGCCATCCGGTCACATTAGGTGGTCGCCACGTGCCGCAATCATTAGGGCAATGCTTCAGGCTATCCGGCCACTTTGCGCACCCGCGATCATTAGGATGATGCCAGGGACTAATTCCAATATGAATGAGGAACCTATAAAGGATCTACCAATCGTTCTGCGACATCCTCATTCAGATGTTGCTCCCGAGCCTTACAAAAATCTTTCTTTTGAAAGCTTCAACCATGAGTTATATATTTAGGGACTATTTTGGCATTTAGAAATGAGTAAAACAATACAAGAGGTTAAGAGTAATTTGATTATATAAGACATGTGATCAAGTTACAGACCTAGGGAGGGGTGGCTTTAGCGCGGAGGCTATCCGTTCTCCACCACTCGCGAAACTGGCGAACGACCACAATTGGTGGAAAACGGGCTGTCGTCGCGCCGAGCCTTGCCCTGTTACACGCCCCAGAATTCGCAGCGAACAACACTGCACTATGATGCTTGATTGTTGTTTGCCACAAGTTAATTTTTAAATCTCTGTTTAACCTCTGCTACTGGGCCGAACAAATGTCTAAATATACAACTTATAGGTGTTCAGACTTTCACAGGAGAAGCCTTAGAGCACTCTTTAAATGAGAACGTCATAGAACAAAAGGTAAAGGCTCCACATTTATCTTAAAATTGGCTGGCACTGGCTCTAACCCTAACGATCGCGGTAGCGGCAGCCAGCCCGTGTAGTCGGATAACATGACCGGGAGACTCACCAGGCACTCGGGACGATGATGGTGTTCTGGTTTTCGGGGACTCCTGCACGGGATCTACTACCATCACGGAGTGATTTCTGCAGGGTGACCATCATTTGTGAGCACCAGTTCGCTTACCTGTTTCTGCCCTCATTCACTCCCGTGAAGAAAAAAACAAGTTCGTACACTGTAGTTCGCTGCGGACGGTTGGGCGTCAGCCAGTATGAGTGTGTCACCCCGTCAAAGCCGTTCTCTGCCTTCTTGTTGAAACGCGCATGCGACAAAAAGTGGTAGAAAACGAGTAATACGAAGGATATATAGTATTGTCACTTGCCCGCTTCAACAACTGGTGGAGAACGAGTTTGGCACCGCGCCAAACGCAGCCGCACTGACACGCCCAACCGTCCGCAGTGAACTACACTACGCTTGAGAGCGCTCCCCTCTAAGGACCAAACCCACTATCCCTCAACCCCGAGGAGACACGGACTTATTCATAACTGGCCATCAGCAGCGCACATTTCTCTTTACGTGTCAACTTGTCCAAGTTGTGAGTACAAGAGTTTATGAGGCCACCCTCAAATATCAGTAGGTTTTACAAAAACTACAATAGACGGAATAATTTCAACATCTAAGTCTGAAAAATATAAGAGTTTTAAAAAAGTGTTTTTGAATGCCTTGTTTTCATGAATTTCGAATCTATGCGAACCAGAGCAAAAATGTAAGAATTAGTGAGCTATACCGCATTTAAGCTCCTAATTTAAACAGTATCCCTCAAACTCTATCGATTTTTCGATTCCAGGTATTTGCTAATAATAACGAGTACCAGTAAAAACACTATCCAGCGAAGTTCCAGGGGTGGACTGGCGACTTAATGAGGCTTTACTGCAGGTCTACGCTAGTTTTTGACATTTATTGCAGGACTTATATAACTCTATAAGACCCAGTTTGTGCAGATAGAAATGGTTAAAGCCCTAGACGATTCCCTGTAAGTAACTCCATCAGATAAAAGCAGAAGTGCAAAAAAGCATGCAGAGAACTTGTCCGTTCTCGAAAGGGAGGGATAGTGGATGCGCTGAATTGTTGGACGGCGGTTTCATTGAAGCTGATATGATTAAACTCGGTGGAATTCTATCAAATCGCTAATTTCAATGGGGTTTCTATTACAAGCGAAAAAGTGGGCAAGAAATGCGAAGTCGACAGCACCAGAAACTGGGTAGGAGGCAGTCATAATCATTAGCTATTAAACTAAAATTTTCGCTAAAGCAATGCAAAATGTAATAGAGGTCGTAGGAATCGTTGAGATGCGGGCCAATTAAATACCAAAGCGCAAAAGCTGCAAGGAATTTGGTGAACTACGTAGCAGCGATTACAACTAGGCGTTCCACGCCTGATTTTAAATCGAGTTTGCGCTCAGGACGCTGTTTGTGGCTTGAATGAAAGGTGGTGAGACTTGAAATGAAGAAGGAAAGTGCTGAGGAAGTGCTGCTGTTTGTTCTTTTAATGACCTCGAAAATTCAGTCGTTTCAGGGACTTATCCACCAAGGGCACATCCTTCTCGTGGGGAAAATTTTCGGAAAATGCGACCTCTGCCGCTTTTTAGATTTTCCCAACTTCCTAACACTTTTTTCCAGTGTTTCCCCGGGTTTTTGGTAACCTACCCAAAATTTAGCTGTCAAGGAGGGAGAATGTGAATATGTGAAAGGGGAAAAACCGCGTAAAGGCAACAACCGAATAAATTTTTTCCCCAACGCCGCAAGTTTCTCTCAAAGGCAAATCCGGCCTCCTTCCCTCCCCAACAACGACCAAGTACGCCCCTTTCCTCGTAGCGTCCGTGAAACAAGGAAAATCAACTATCAAAAAAATTTTCCCCAGACTAGATACTACCTCTCCTCCCCCAACGACCAAATGCGACCCCCTCTTGTAGGGGAATCCCCAACGATGATGTTGCCCTGCATAGTGACCACTAATTACGTGTCAATGAGAACTACCGCAATCCACGCTAAGTGTGTGCCCTTCGATTCCGTGGGTGTGTTTTAGCAAAATATTCGAAACAGAACATTATCCGAAACTCAATAAGCACGGGTGACTCTAGGGTAACCCATTCAGTCCAAGAAAGTGTAGCCCCTACGAAAGAGCTCTTTTTTGCGCCGATCAGGTGTAAGATTGAGGCACACTCATATGTACTTGTACTCCACGACGAGACAGGCAACCATTTTATGATTGGTGTTCTAAAGCTGAGGCCATTGCAAAGTTTCCTTCTCTGTTTTCTCCACAAGGCGTAGCAAAAGCTCTAAAAGTCTCGAAAATGAAGTGTGCGTGCTTTAATGCCCTCAGGGAATGTGCGTTAACCAACGGATGTGTTGAAAACACTGAAATCATTCGAGTACTCCACCTCGGCTTCTTTCCATCGCATTCCACAAATCTTTCAGAAAAAAAAACTGTGCCATTTCTTAAAGCAAAGCAGTCTCTATGATACCCAGCTTCCCCTATGTCCCTCGATGTCTCGTTGGGTTGGAAAGAATCTACCATTACTGCCATCCCTAAGATACCCTGGCATGAGTTTGTCTCTTCGTTTCGCCGCTTAGCATCACTACCCATCAGCCAAAGCCCTGGAAAAGGTATTATGTGATGGAATCGTATTTCATCTAGTGAAACACAATCTGATTCCAATGGAACAACACGGGTTTATTAGAGGTACAAGCACTCTAATGGCTGTTTGTATGTTCGATAACCTTGCTATTAACGAGGGAAAGGGTGTAAATATGATCTGCAAAGACTTTCCAAAGCGCTTGTAGAGTGAGTCATAAGAAGCTCCATAGGTAGTTAGGAAATGAAGGTTCCATTCTCACCTGAATTCGTTGGTATCTGAAAAGTGGGTAACAGTTTCTCACAGTTTCCCTTGCGCTAGTGGACTTCCATATGGTGTCTTGTCGCCTTCGTTGTTTTTTGGGCTAAACCTACGACTTACCCGCTTGCCTCAGTACCCATCTATTTCAAAGTTAAAATATGCGCCAATGACATTAAAATGTACCGTGCTCATCATAATTATTAGGTTGGCGGGAAAGTTCTGTCACTCTTTTCCGAACTCAAATTACTTGTCCCATTGCCAAGAGT